GGGTTTCTTCCACCGCTTACTCCCACAGCACGTACCGCTCCGAGGCTTTGCCCGTGAGCCGGTGCGTCTTTACGAGCCCGCTTTGTACGTTTCACTTTGCTTCGCCGGGTAATAGGAGACGACGCTCTCAAAGGGGATTCGGGAAAACGGCGCGATCCGCGATCGATGGGACAGCCATCGCGTTTCTCGCGTGAATCGCCCCGTTCCTCCTCGAATTTTCCATTGTTTTCGATGACCTCTCGCCCCCGGGAACCGGAGATTCACCTGTTTCCATCAGGCGACGCGAGTTTCGCCGGCGCTCTTCCAGTTGCCCGGGACTTCGGGAACAAACATCGTGCATCATACCGCTGTCACGTGACATACGCCGCCGGGGAACTTTATTCTTCGGGAACTTGCTCGGGGATCGGTCGGAAAGTTTTCAACTATCTCGAAACGTCGGCCAGAGAACGTCGAACATTTTCTTGTGGTCTCGTGTAACTATAACAACGCTTCCGAACTGACCCGGCTTCGTATCCGTCACGATTTCGTATACCTCCAATACCGCGCGATTAAATCCTCACGACTCGAACACCTCCACACTCGCAGCTTACTCGCGTTGCCGCTCGACGCGACGTTCCGCGATTGTTTCCGAGAAACCGTTTCCAGAATTTCAACGACTCGCCGGGGGGAGGATTGTGCGACCGGTTGCGTTACTTTAATTCTTCCTTTAATTACGTTCGGCGTAATTGTTACGATAGACGTCTGAAATGCGACGGTGCACCGGATGTGCGGCGTGTATGCGCCAATGAAAATTGTCGTGTTTCGCGCACGACAGAGAGAGAAAGAGAAAGAGAAAGAGAGAGAGAAAGGACGAGCGGGCGACGGCGGGAGAGGAGAGACGGCCGGCGAGGACCTCGCGTGCTGCGAGGCAACGGCGTGGTACAATGTACGGAACATAAAAGCGAGATTAACAGGATGTTTATCGAGCAATTATTCGCTGGCGCAATTAGTGCCAGCACGGTCCGTCCGCGTCACCGGTATCGTCTTCGGCCGGGTTCACGCAAAACGTTCCCTGTTTTACAAGGAAACGCGACACCTGCAGGATGTACAGGCGATTACCGTGCTGGCAGCGGCGAGGAGCTTACCCGCGGGACCGATTACGTCCTGGCCAGGGGCAACCACGCGTATTTTTTTCGAGCGTTCCACTAGAACCGATTAAATCAAATTACAGGCCGCGACCGGGGCCGGGATAGGGTACGCGCAACAGCGCCGCTGAATTTGAATCATTTATACGACTAGATCGCCGTGGATTTTTATTCGGACGGGTTTTACAACAGCCGTAATTAGGAGCAACGAGGGTATGTCAAAACTTATCGGCAGGATCTGCGCGCGCGGCTCGCCTGTGCTCCGCGGACGTGTCCGGAGTCGTCAATTAAGAGTCGTAAACTGTGCGTTCCCAAGCCACCGGTTACATTTTTCTCCCTTTTCGTTCTCTCCCGCTCCTTCACGAGGATCGACGAGTGCCGGTGACGGACCTTCGAAAGAGGACTTTGTAAACGTGCATGCCGTGTAATCGTTTGAACGCTCGAGCCGCGGAATATCGAAATTAGGGTAGCAGTGTCGAGTGTATATCTCAATATTACATCGTGACGTTATAAGGTAAACATTAACGACGTTTGTAAAGGAATAATCAACGTATTTATAGTATTAATGGAAACCTGTTAATGTTTATATAAAGTTTCGATAGTTCATTGCGTCGTGTGAAGAACAAACGAAACTTCGATAATTAGCTACTAATGATTTCAAGAAAAGAAAGGAATAGAGAATATCTCGTTTATTCTTGAAATAAAAGAGACAGAGAGAGAGAGAGAGAGAGAGAGGGTGAGGACAGAAAAAGATGATCCCAACAAAGGTTTACGCGGGAAATTAAGAAATAGGAAATCCTACCAGACGCTTCGTGCCCGTTCCCATCGAACGCGACGATCGCAGCCTCCCGCGCGGCGTCGCGCTTTTTATTGCAGATTGTTACGTGCGGTTTTACATCTACATTCCGTGAATGTTAACGGCATTGCGCCAGCTTTGCGGGTAAAAACGCACACCTGCACGGACTAGTTTAGCCGCGGCGCGCTCGCGCCGGCCGTGAGCGAAAATAAAGCAATAAGCAAATGAAATCGCGGCTACCGGGACACAATGGAGGAACCGGCGCGGGCTTCGCCACCCTTCTGCCGACGCCAGCCGCCGTTCCTGTTCCTCCCGCTTCTTCCCAGCGGCGGTCGCCCAGTCGCGTCGGCCATAAAGCAACGCGAGGCAACTGTTTGCGAAACTTTTATTATTTCCAGTTTTATGATCTGTCCGGCTTGCTCGAGGCTGCGCCCGAGTCACCGGCGCAATTGCGCCCCAATGCGGTCCGACCGGAACGCTTTTCCATTTGTTCCCTGTGGCTTGCGCTACGCGGACGATTCCACTTACAGAGTAATCGCACTTCGAATTTCTTTCCTCGAATTTTTGCTATACGACCGGTCTTTTCTGCTGCTTTAACGCGTCCGACGTTGAATCGGGTTTCATCTAAATTCTGTGTACTATGTAGGGACGACACTATCCTTGAGAATTTCGTCTGCTTTGCACTCGGTGGGCGACTCGGTCACCGTTTGGTTTGAGACGGTGAAACCATAAGATCTGATATTTAATGTTGAACTTTGTATAATACCTTGATACGTGAGATATTGGAATAAAATAGTTCCTCGATGTACTTGCGATTTCCCTTCGAGTTTCAAGGAACATCTTCGCCTCGTCAATATTAAACATTTCTACTCAGAAACTGCCGAGTGTAAAGGGTTAATCTAATGATCAATTGAGTTTACCGAATTAAAATAGCACGATCAAGAATGTGAAGTTATATAATTTATAGAATTTTTAAAATGTAACTTCTGAATGGACGAATTAACCGAGCGCCATAGATTATATAGTTTCTCGAATTTGTACGGCCCTTCGAGGAATCGTTAAGTTAATTGTCGTATCGAGGGACGTTCGGAGGGGTAGCTTTTTAAGGAACAATTACGAAAGTCGTCGGGATACGATGGAGCCTTGCTTTTTACCAATTCCAGTCACACCCAGAAGCTTGGCCCCGTGTCGCTCGCTATCCTTTCATAGGCTCGGCCTGCGCGCTACCCTC